TCATCTCTATGTTACAAACATATATATTTTATATCATCTTTTTCAATATAAATGTGTGTTTGTGTACAATTTAACAAAGTTTTACCAATAATGATGATTTCTTTACCTTGTCCATTAACTTGACTGGAAGGCGGTGGTAATGTTGCTGGTTTCAGCTTAAATGGATTGGTAGCAGCAGTGTTTGGTGCTAAATAATAAATTGTTAAGTTGCTAGTATAAAATCAGTGTAATGCAATTAATATGTAATGCAATTAATATGCTCTTAATGCTCCTCACATTATAATTTACACCACCTAAAAACTTCAGGATGAAATTGAGTTGCACCCAATTACACTTGGCAATTTAGAATAGAAAATATTGAATTCTAAAAATGTATACTCTGATTTTTATATTAGATAATAATTTTTATGTTCAAAGTTGATAATGTTTTATTTTACTTCAAAATGAGCAAATCAATTTAAAATATGATCTATATTTATTAGTATTTTGCAAGGGATGATACATCTTTAAATGAAACTAAAAAGAAAGGTGATATATGTTTGATCAAAAGTATTTGCAGAGTGCAAACAGTCTATTAGCCTCACTTACGGTCCCAGCTGGCCAAAACATATAATCTTCCTCTTGCTTCAGAAAATGAGTTTGAAAAAAACTGCATGTAGGATGTTGTAAAATTTATATGACAATTATTTTGTTTTAATAATTATACAGTAGTACAATTTTAGCATACATCGATAATGTATGCTAAAGAGGGACATCGAAAAAGTGTTAATTACCGGTCAAATACCATAATTATGATGCCAAAATGTTTAGCATCTCTGCATTAAATCACATACCTATAACACAACTGAAAGGCCTTGAGCTTGGAAAAGCCGACGGCTTTATGAATGACTTTGTCTGAACAGCTGAGAATGGATTCGAATTGGAGTCTTCTGCAAAAAACAAGAAAACATTACTTGGTTAAGTTCTGCCCAGATTATAACATTTTTTTTGACAAAAAACTATTGTATGCCCATATATAGTTATGATATGTCTATATATAGTCATAATGTGATGTTATCATGACCAGTCTGACCATATTTAGGCATATCACATGTTTTTGTCTAATAGAATTTGATAGTCCAAATCAAATCAAATCAAATTTACTTTTATTTCCATACAATTAAATTAATACAATATACAGTAATGCAGAATTTGAAAACAAATATATTTTATGGAAGGAGGCTACAATGAGTTTTGGGAGAAGAACCAACAAAGCTTTAAGACGTAGCCACCTTTTACAAAGAAAAGTTGAAAAAATAACATTTACTTATATTTTATCTAAACTAATAGAATCACAGAAATGATATACTCAATAAAATTATAATAATTCCAATCCAGTTTTATATATGTTTTTAGAAAGTACAAGACAGGACACATTATTTTTAAGACTCAAACAAAAATGAAAGAAAGAGAGGGAAAAAGTGAATTAATTGCAATACACAGAGACCAAAGACTTCTTAAGGTATAGTTTACCTAAGCTAAACTAAATCACGTTTGAAATAAGCATAAAAAGATAAAAGTATTACTATATTATTAGATATAGAATTATTAAACTGAATCTTTTCTGCACTGTTGCTACTTACCATTGTCAGCTATAAAATCCATATTGGTATCTTTCCCTTGTTAATGTAAAAAAAAAAAGAAACAAAATTCAATTCAATTAGTTATTGTTTGTTTTGTCAATATTCATAATTAAAAATGTTTCACTTTAAAAACACTGAAAAAAGACATTATCAAATATTTAAAAAAACGTTATTCAAGTGTAGTTATTCATTCTTATGAAAAACTATTTAAAAAATTTGTATTGGCATATATTAATTAAAATACTTTGTAAATTGTGTGTTATTTTTTCAAAATACACACTACTTACTTGCAGAGTATCTTTCCATTAGAAAAAACAAAACAAATCAATTCAAATATAAGGTAGATAATTGTTTGATTTTTTCGTTACTTATTATTATATTAATGTTTTACTTTAAAATAATTGAAAAAGACATTCAATATTTAAAAAAATGTTACTCATTATTGATTATGTAAAAGTTTTATATTTGTATTTCTTTTTATTTTATTTCATTTAAAGAAATACAACAGGTTAAATCGGAAAACACGCACAATGAAAGAAAAAATTAACACAGACAGGTAGGATTCCTAAAAAGTGAACCAAATCACTAACTGGAATGTCTTCCATTGCACTGTTTGGAGATAATACTTTAGAATAAACACAATAATAATAATAACAATAAATAATAATAATAATAATAATAATAATAATAATAACAATCATAATGAGGTCAACTTTTAAATTACAATGCAATATACAGTATAACAATATCATAGAATATGTACTTATGTTTTAATGTGCCTGTTACACGTATTTGTTTTCAAATTTTTATGACCTTTGTCAATGCAGCAAATTTCCTTTTAAACCAATAAAGTTTTCAGTATTTAGTAATAATAGTAATAATAATAATAATGATAATGATTTCAATTCAATTTCAATTTATTCAACAAAAACCACCAGACTGGGGAAGGTAAAAATATATAAAATACAATAAAACTTCACAATACAAAATTAATCAGAAGAAACTCGCATCCATTAAACAACAACCAAAGGTACGGAAATTTAAAATGCTCTTGTTTTGTTAATGATTGTATGAATATCGTTATTGTATAAGCAGCACTGTCACAGATTCCATGGTTTACGCAATTGTGACTCTTTATATCAGCCTTCATATGTTTCTTGTATACATTATTGAATATAACAGAAACAAAGGATACATTTCTATAGATATTACCCTTGATTCTGTCAATGACAGTACTTCTATACGACATTATTTTTTGCTTTGCAATTAAGAAGATGGCAATAAAATACCCTAGAGTTAGAATCATTAACAAGCAGTTGTGACAAGAGATCATATTGATTAGACAAATTAATATCTTTGATTTTAGGTAGATTTAGAGCATGCAATAATAATAGTTATCATTATTACCACTACCACCACCCTTATACTATATCATAGGATAGGATAGTCAGATGCCACTTTCACTCGAGCTCCTGTGAGTTCTGTTCCACCGAGCTCTCAATTATGGGAGTTTCAAAGTGCTGGAGAACGGAGTGGTGAAAGGCGTTCCTTTGCGTTTACTTTGTTTTGGTTAATGTTAGGATATTTTATGGCACATTCCTTTTTTTTTCAAGTTTTTTTTATGTGAAAAGCGCTTAGAAGCATTGTTTTGCATTAAGCGCTGAATAAGACTAACATTATTATTATTATTAACATTACTTTAATTTAAAATAATGACAATATAATTTAAAACAATCATATGTATATAATAAATATCAATATATTGGCATATAATTAAATTATATTGTGTTTTTTTTTTCTTCAAAATGTATAATACTTACTTGCAGACACTACTAGAGGCCTCTGGGAAAGAACACTGGGAGAGGCTTTAGGGAATTCCCCGGGAACATCATCCGGCTTCACATCTGAAATCAGTCAAAATAATTTGTAAAATGTTTAAGTTTCATATTGAAATGAAGTCACTGTAAGGTTAGCCAAGGTTAAGACTTTGGCATCAATATATCTACAAAGTAGGATTCAGAGGGGGGGGGGGAGAGGAATGGAAGAAGGGTCAGCCTGGGCCGGTGCCCCTACAAATAAAAAAAAAAAAAATAAATAAAATAAAAAGAAAATGGAGAAAACAGATAATTGCATCCAAGTCTGTGAGTGCCATTTCCCACCATTTACAAATGCCAGAAACTTAAAATTTTATACCACAGCCAATACCATAGTGGGGTTGAGGAAGTCTGGCTCCTCTATCTGTACAAGTTCCTTTTCACGACCTATCCTATTTTGAAACCTTGGATCTGCCAGAGATGTAAAACCATGAAAAAAATTACCTTCTTCTACTGCTTTTTGCCTATCGAGCTGTTCTTCAGCCGGACGCTGAAAATGCAAGAGGAAGGCAAGGTAGTTATAGATAGGAAACAAAGCCAACAAAGCTAATACAGTGAAGTACGTCAGACCTACTCTATCATCAATTGACATAAACACCCATAAAGGAAGTAGTTGGAGAGTGAATGGTCCCATTAACAATTTAATTTGCAAGTGAATTATAATAAATTACAAATTATAAAAACTTATAAAAAAAATATAAAGATTTTAGACCAAAAAAAAAAAAAAAAAAAAAAAAAAAAAAAAAAAAAAAATCCCAAAAATATGTTGCCCAATCTGTCAAATTAAAAAAAATTAGGGTTTGACTTTTAAAATATTTATATCGCGGGAGCAAGTGACTTGCGCGATGTTTCAAGCTTAAATTAAAAAATTTAGTCCATTAACTATGGACTTAATCATGTATTGTAAATCTATTTCTTAATATTAAAAGTATATTTCCGACAAAATATTATTCTTGCTATAATCTTTTTTATAGATCGGTTCATTTCATCCATTTAATATTCCCTTTATAATTGAATGTTTTGAACGTTATGTGATCAAAGAAATGTGATATGCCCATTTTTGGGTGTAATATGACATCATCATGCTCATATATGGGCATATCACACAAATTTGTCAAATAAAATTTGATAGTGTAGACATAGCTTTAAATTTTCTGGCTTCAATACATATCAGCTACATTAATAACAGGTACATAGGGAATTCTTTTACAGTTAAGTAAAAATTATTTATTACCTAGTTTCGCAAACATATGTTTTTTAAAAGATCGTCAGAGGATCGGAGGGTGAAAAAAAAACCAAATAAGTGTTGTTTTCTCCTTGTCTTAGTAACCAACTCACTTTTGTATATAAATCAAACGGACAACCATTTTATCAATTTATATGTACATGTATGTACATATAAAGTCTACTCTTAAGTCAGTTTATGTTTACTGCCATGAGATCTAACAAAAAAAAAAAAAAAAAGCAGAATGAATGAATGAATGAACACTTTGTTAACTGGCCTTGTTTGTATCAAAGAAATAGCTACTTTCAACAGCCAATCAAATCATTTGATTTTGCTACTTTTGACAATCATGATTTAGACGAGCCAGTTAGATCCAGTTTATTGTGTAATAGGAGGAATCACAGAGGTTTTTGATCACATTCAATAGAAAAAATTTAGCACAAAATACTGGCATAGGTCCAAGAACGTGTCTCACCATCTGAAAGGTCACCTGAACGATGAAAAACACAATCGTGTAAAAGGACACGTAGAAAAAAACGTTTAATATTTTTGTTTTGTTGTTTTTAAAGCGTTTCTCTGTCTGACCCAAAGTACTAAATCTGGGTCTTTAACCTACTGTCACTACCCATCTCCTTGACCCCCTTACTACAAATAAAAATGAATTAAAAACAAAAAGATTTGTTTACGATCGAAGCCTAGAATGACATTTTGAGTCATAAATATTTGATAGAAAGTCTTGAGAAGTTATTTGTTTTTAATATTGTACACTTTATATGGATAAAAAATTTAAATAGCCAGTAAAAACAAAGATTACAATTTAAAATATTTTGAGTCATAAATGTTTTATAGAAAGTCTTGAATTTATTGTTTTTTCAATAGTGATATATCTTGAACTTATATAAAGATAAATATTTAGTAAAAAACAAAGGTAATGTAATTTTTCCAAATAAACTTAAAATATGCAGGACTCTTTCATCAGGTATAAAACAAAAAATTTACTTAATTTGCATACTTATGTTAAAATTAACATCATATTATCTTACAATAAAAATCTGAGAAAAAAGAATCCCTGTCAATTAACAGACATGTAATTAATTATTTTTCCTGTATTCTTTTACACAGAATCTAAAATTAGCTGGATATCAATATAAATATAAAGAATTTTGTAATAAAGTATTTGTAAATCAAAAATATAAATATTTTTTTAATAAATTTAAAAAAATGTGCAATCAAAATTTAAATTGTATTTTGGGGATTTTTCTGATATAATGATTGTTTTATAAATAAAATACATTTTATTTAATCATTCTATTAATAAAAATTGTCAAAGAATTTAAAAGGATTATAGTCACAAGTAAAGTGATATTAAGCTTATAATTATTATAAATTGTACAGCCTGGCCATCTGAATAACTTTACATAAAAAAAACAAACAATGGAAATACATTTATAGGGGTGTAGGTTAATTAATAATAATAATAATAATTGTCAATTTATATAGCATATAATGTAAAATACCTCTATGCGCGTTACAGCCAGAAAATGGAGAAATATGAGAATGGGAAACTATATCCCTATTCCAATAAAAACTAATTTTCGTATTTTAACCCCACTCAGCATAACTAATTGACTGCCATTGAGGAGTATGTCCCTCCCCTTCACCCATGATTCCAGTTAGTACTTTGTGTTTTATCTGTTTTGAAAAATTATTTTGCATGCATGCATGAACATTTTTCATGGTTAATATCAATAACTAGGCCAAAAAAAAACATTGTGTTGGCCACGCCCAACAGACCTACAAAATTTTACGAAATTAAGGATCGGCATTTTATTTATTTATTTTTTGACACTGAACAATATATTTTTATGAGCAAATAAGGCTGGAATAGCCTTTGGTGCGGCTATGGGGCCAAGGCTACCATATTTTGCTGGATGGTACGCGATATGAATCTAAAATTGTTGTGTTATTTGTGTATTTCTACTTTTTAGGCGTAAACACAAATTTGGTTGTGTAAAAAAAAAAGTTTTCCTACCGACCTACCTATATTTTGGGTTTTCCCAAAACGTGGCTAACACAAATTTTTTTTTTTTTTGACCTTATAAATCATTCCTGTTGAGATTATTAAATTTCATTTGGCAAAAACATTTGTAATGCCTATTATAACATCACATCATGACCATATATAGGCGATTATATATGGTCTTTTATTGTGTCAAATGATAAATCATATAATAAGGAAGTTATGGGTAATAATTATCATTATTATTATTAATGGCATTAAGTCCAAAATAAAATTGTTGCCCACATAATACAATCTATAAGGAATGTTCCCCACTGGATTTATTTTGGCAATTAATATTACGTTAGAACAAAAATTGCAAAAACAACATTATTTTGAAACATTAAGCTCTGCCCATATATAGTCATGATGTGGCTATATATAAATTATAGGCATATCACGTGTGACAGTCTAGACAGAGCTTGTAATTCAGTAAGCATATTGAAAATAAGTAAATACATTTATATTAACGAATATTACTCATTGAGTGCATGTTAATTAATAATAATAGAAAACAAAAAATCACACAATCTTTCACATGCAGAAAAAGATAACCAGATAACCATTACCTTTAACACCCGGCTTTCCATATTTTCGCCAAATACAAAGGTTGATCGTGCAATTACGCTTCCTCCACCACCTTTCTCCACACCTGAATAACAAGACAACACAAGTAAAAAAAATTGAGCTACAGCATAAAAAACAGATGATGGATTTTGATAGAAGAAACAGAGACTAAAGGTAATACGGCAGGACTAAAAAAGAAGCATTGAGAATCTGATTGTAAACACGATCAACACCTGAATAATATGCAACATACATTGATTCAGTGTAATGCAATTCTTCTTTGAAGCCTTACACATGTCGTGGAGTCTCTTGATGTCTTCGAAGTATGTGTTTAACATGACCAACATGCCGCAGACATTTACATAATTTGTAGTGATTGTCAGTACATAAGGAAACAATATCCTCTGATTTCGTCCAACTGAAAGGCTTCTAGTATTTGTCACGAACAAGCTGGTTCTGATTGTTTCATCAGTACACACCCACAGCAAGCTCGGTGGTCAAGACAACAGGCTACCAGGCTAGTTATCTGGAGGTCGTAGGTGCGATTCCCACACAAATCACTTGCGAAATTTTTTTTTACAAGCATTTGAGAACGTACTGAGCATTCAGTACTATAACACATTGATGCGTATTATTTATCCTGACGCAAAACACCATCGAAATATATCTAATTTTGATTTCCTATAGAAATATTCTGTTTCTAGTCTAGAAAGTTTTTTTGCCCAAGTTTTCAGAAATGAAGAAAGGAAGATGAGATATTTTGTTTCCCCTGCACCCCTATTATATGGCCACCTCACATGCACACTTGAATCTCAGACTTGCCCAGGCCCAGAAACACATACTCGATGTTGAGGATGTTTTGATTTTGGTAGGGTTTTCTGGGTGTTTGTTAGCCTTGTATCTTGTAATAAAATGTTAAAATGGAGGCTTGAAAAATAAAATGAGAAATGAGGATGGTACAGGAAATCAAGAGATGATTATAAAAAAAAAAAAAAAAAAAAAAAAAAAAAAAAAAAAAAAATGGAGGATGTAAAACATAAATTTTTGTTTAGTTTTATGTCTATTTTAACAAATAAATGATTGGTTAATTTAAAAATTTAATTTGGTTGCTCAATATTTCTTAATTATCTTATTATATTTCAGTAGGTACTGCAGTGACAATTGTTTCATTTCATTAAGTTTGTCTTCAGAAAACATTTGAAGACACAAAAAAATATACAATTCGACAGAATATAAGCAATCGCTAACAACCCAACGGGAAAACCAAAAAGCGAATCAAATCACTGTTGGAGCGAAACAATATATGAAAACAATACATGTAAACACTTAAAAATATGAAATTCATTTTACTACTTCTGATTGGTTGTTATCCCAATCCAATCCATAACATCCAATCAGATTTAGGAATTGGTTTCAGACTTGTGTAGCAATAGCCACTGTTAGTAATTTATTTTCAGATCGTTCTTAAAAGAAATATCTAAAAAAATTGAGTAACTAGATTATTGTGACTATATTGTGTTTACTTTAGTTTTTACATAATAGACAAGATGATTGTTTGTTCTCAGTTTTACTTTATGTGGAATAATATTACATAATACACAGTCAGACACTTGGTCTTCCTTCTTTCCTGGCATTAAATTTTAATTAAACAATGGCAGAGTTATAATTAAAAGGACGAATGATCTGGGTTTCAATCTTATCAAATCGTTTGTAATAGTATCATGGTTATTTTGTCATTACAATATATCCAGTGACTGATTAGAAAAGGGGGAGGGGGAACTAAATTTGTCAAAATGTTTGAAAATGTAGATAAAAAGAAAGTTATATTCAAATGTTATGTCTATGATGGGGCTAAGTTGGTACAGACCCTCCACCTGTGCAATCCCTCCCTGAGCCCCTCTATTTCAAATTTCTGGATCTGCCAACTGATAAAAACATTACTGTATTTAGAATACAACGAAAACCATGATTAAAAGACAAGCATTTAAAATCCCACAATGGATTTGGTGACTTCGTTCTATTCACATAATTTAAAATGTTCAATTGCTAGCATTTAATTTTTGTACTTCAATTTTCTAATCTTTATAAAATTAGACCATACTGTATAAGGTAATATTTTACAAAAATTATAAATTTATGTAAGTGTTTTATCATTGTATTTGTGCTGGTTTGATTATGTATGCAGTATCGGAGAGCCACTCTGATAGTTTTTTACACTTTTGGCGATCTCCAGGGTACTGTAAATTTTCAGCTTTTTGTTTTGTCTTCCTGTGCTTCTTTGTTTGTGGTGGTTTAACTGGAAATTGAACAAAATAAAATACATTTTTGATTCAAGAGCTTTTAATTGATCTACAAGTCAATTAATCAACCAATCAATCGTCCATTTTATAAAGCACCATTCCAACAGTCGTTGAGCCATGGTGAGATTATTCAAAATGGTTCATCTTGAGTAGTTACTTAAAAAGTGTCAAGTGAAGTTGATGTTGTTTAAAGGAAGTATATACATAAAACTTTTTTATGTTTGATAGATAGAATGATAAACTAAATAAATATACCCAATATATAAAATATTATAATGGAAAATAAAGAGTGAAATGGGAGTGACCATCTTTTAATGTTAGGGTTGAACATGTGTATGCTATTAAAGCCAGGCTCCTGTTGGAAAAGAATTGTATGATGTTGTACAATACAACTTTTCTAAGACACAAAAAGGGTTTCTGACGAAAAACTCAGAAATGGTTAATGAGATACAGATTTTTGAATATTATTGCAAATGAAAAAAAAAAACAAAATCCTCAAAACTATGACTATACTGTAATTCACAATATAATTGGAATAAGAGGAAAAAAGAGTTTTATAAAAAAATAAACAGGAATTATCATGTTAAGACCAAGTGGTGATTGGGCCCCATAAAAAAAATTATTAGTTTATCATCCCCCTCCCTCATCACTTTTGGGGAAATTCTGATTTTTTTTTTTTTTTTCAATCAACATATTATTTTTATTTCAAAATGATCATTTTTCCATCTGTTTTTACTTGAAAAGCTCAGGATTTCTTTCAAATATGTTTACTGGTACAACAAAAACATATTTTTAAAATATTAAGTTGATTCCATTCTTATGATGTTTTATATATGTGTCCCTAGCCATTGATTTACTTGTGAACATCGGTAAAATGGGGGGGGGGGGCGAGGTTATCAAAAGGAGAAGAAAAAAAAACCTCCCTCCCTCATCAGTTTTCATTCTTTGAAAGGGTGATAAACTAATACTTTTTTTATGGGGCCTTGTATGCATGATTACGGTAACTGGGCAGTGTTTTTATTTGAGGCCTATATATAATATATTATATATATATATATATATATATATATATACTGTATGTATATATATAAGAAGATGAAGATTCCACGTTTGCTTCGATAAATAAAAATTTTTTTTATTGGTCTTTCTATATATATATATATACCTTTTTATTTTAATAATTATAATAAGACCCAATACAAATTCCTTAATTTGCAAAAAATATTCTGCACTTTTTTAAATGAACCGTTTGACTGCTCACTTTGCTTGTCTGTCTACCTCCCCTTTTTAGGCGCTTCTTTTCCACTACTAGGCCCTGGGCCCGGGGTAGGGGATGATAAGTGGCAGCTAGGCTAGGCTTAGCCTACTTCCAGGTACTAGGGTTAGCCCCTACCTAGGCCTAGTTAGGGGCTCAGCCCCATAAATATTTTAAAAATAAAAGTCTTTTTAAGTTTTATTATTGAACAATTATATTCGATTAGGTCTAGGCTAGATTACAATTCATAACTTGGAGGTAATGTATAATAATAATTGATTAAAACAGTATTATTAAATGACCTAGGACCTAGCCTAGGCCAAAGAAGTAGCGTATTCTTTTTTGTTTATAAACTGATGACGGGCAACAACAACAGAATTATGCGCCAAATTCAATGAGAAGAACCCCGCAAAAAAGGGCTAGCCTAGGCCTAGCTTTGCTAGGCTTCAGAGAAAAACGTACCATTTTGTCCGACTAAGGAAGCTTCTTCATCTGTAGGTTGAATACCTGGACATAGAAAAAATAAATTCATTAAATGAAAACAATCTGAAATAATAACGAAGGGAAAAAATATCAATTTAACCATGGAAATTTCCACCGACCTGCTTCGGGTTTGTCGAGTTCAACCTCCGCCATTGTTTCTCACATACACCGCCCTCTATCAGTGTTTTGATCGGCATTTCGGTTGGTTGGTTGTGCAAAAGGCAAACGGACGGAGGGAACAGCGGTAAAGGCCCATGGAAGATAGTCAATCAGCTTATCAACAAGTTTTAACTGCATTGCTAGTAGGGAAACCAGCTGATAATACATTATGTTGAAAACAGTTTTATACTACTAAAAGAAGTCAGTTCTGCCATAAACTGTAGGCCTAGCCTATGCCCCTGCTTTTTAGTTCGTATTCATTCACTGTCGTCGGGCTCAACTCGGAAGTGAAGCTGAAAACATGCTAAGTTGGCGTCGTTTGCCTTGGGAACGTAAACTGGTGGTTTCACGGTTCAACAAGGCGACATTATTTATTTTTCTTCTGTTGTCTTATTTCTCTTGTCTTGTTTCAGGTAGGTAATAACTTTTGTATGCGTAAATCTTAACTAAAATTTTAACATTTGTTACTGTATGGGTGGGAACGTAAGTCAATGTTTTATTACAGTAACTTTGTTTTTCTTCTGTCAATTTTTTTCTATTTCTCCTGTCTTTTTTTTTTATATAGGTAACCGTAGTATAGTTAGATAGCTGTAATTTGGAACATTTGTATACAGCATATCCAACTCCATTCCCTGTGATGAGCGTTTGATGCAGCACCGTCAGCTTATTGTTGATGGAATATCTAAACAGATTGCCTTAAAGACGTACCTATTGCGCGCACATCCATGAAACGTGTCTGCTGAGAACAGTCGGGCACAATGAATAAATTTTTCTTCTGGGCCTTCTGTTTTTATTCTCGCATATAATTATAAGACAAGACTTTGTGGCAAATTGCAATTGCAAAACATCACGGGGTAGTCCTTACATGTGCAATACACAAAATTGTTGATATTTAAGTCGTGTTCGTCTATGTTTAGATCGTCCGTAACATGCAAATCTACTACAGAAATGAAGCTTTGTTAGTATGATCTGATTGAATTCTATTTTAAATGCAGGGAAATTAGCTTAAACATTTATAAGGCCAGAAAATGGTATTATTTGGAAGACTAGTGCCCTACATTTGGCTAGGGAGATGTGTTGCCGATTATACATGAGAATACAGTATACAGAAGTTGGATTAATAACTTGTCAGTATAGACAAAGATAGTTGGCTATCCATGTATGAGGGTATAAAAATCCATCTGAAAAACAAACAGCTAATTGTTTCCAGTGGTGAAGTTGAGTTTGTAAAAAAAAAATCTTTTTTAAAGAGCCAGCTCTCTAGAAGGGATGATAAATGTATATATTTTTTTATTCGTAGTTGGTTAAAAACCTCATGAAATATATTATTAAGTTGTTTTTGTTTTTAGAATAATTTTGTCCAGGTTATTGTTTTATTAGAACTAAAATTACTTCCTGAAGTAAACCAGTGTAAAATATCATCACGATTGAAGAAAGATGACAGGTTTCAATGGGTCCATTTCAAATCCCTGGTGCAAACAGTACATACAGACAGTTCATATCTTAGAATGATATGCTATGTGTTTAATTACAGCGCTAAACATTTGCCAAAATTTTGTTACAAATATCATGTAATTTTGAAGGCTAGTATAATAGTAATTGTTGGAAGTTGGTAATGTATTGTTGGTATAGCTAGGCACACCGTGAGATCTCCTATTGTTGGTATTCTAATTGTGTATTAGCACAATAGTGACTAACTGTGATATTGATTTTCACGTATTAGTCACCTGAACAGGGGAGTTGTCACTGGACAGTCATTTGGGTGTATCTGTGAGATGAATTTTTAATTTTAATTTTTTCATACTATTTTTTTTTTTTTTGTAAAATGTAATGATTTATTTGTATTAGCCCTAATTAAAAAAAAGTTTAGTTTATCATCCCAAATGCATGTCTTCTATGGAATTAAAAACCCAAGGAGATATTTGGCTTTAGCAAAATAAACAATATAAAAAACCTTTCTTCTCATCAATTTTCCAGCCTAGGTAGGGTGATAAACTAATATAGTCATTTTTTTTATTGGGCCTTATATATTTTATGACTTTCTAAAACATAATATCTAGAGAGAAAAATAATTATGTGGTCATATTTTATTTATGATGCCTTAGAGAATCTTTGCTTACTTTTGGTTCCATAAAGGGCAATTTATATTATTTTATTTTCTCCTAAAATATTATAATAAAAAAAAAAAAATAAAAAGAATATTATTTTGTGATTTGTTGTTCAGAGATACTGTATGGTGGGGCAGTATGTAAACTGCCAAGTATAGATAGCAAATGGTAATGATTTTTTTAATAAGTAACTTGTATAAAGAAGAAATTTGTACCACCAGTTAGTAATTACTGTCTGCTCTTAATGCAGATCGACATTGAAATTTGAACATAGCCTTTTTGGATTCTATAGAACATAACAAACAATAAAATTCTAACATTGTTTATTATAGTAAATTGTATATTAAATATAGTATCAGTATTGTTTATCAACCCGATGGTCCACCCTACCATCATTGGTGTGTACCGAAATTAAAGTAACAATGACCTTCGTAGCTGCGTTCAAAATGGTTTGTACACGTACATACCGTACGACTGGTTACACGTAGAAATGAAGCAGTAATTCTTGGCTGTCTGTATCAGGTAGAATGATAAAGTACAATTAAAAATGCTTATGTAATATTCAACTCTATTATTATTATTAATAAATTTCTATTATGAGGTAGGCCTAAAGTTAATATATACACTCCCCTAGGCCTAACATTGTGTCGCCAAGGCACAGTGACCATGTGTTTGGACTACAGTAGTAACAGGTCGGCACATTTTTCTATTAACCTACAGTATGACTGTAACTGTAGAATTAATTACCAATCATTGTAGCAACACAAATTAATTTATTAAACTATAAAAATAGTGTAGTAATGTAATATGGCCTTTTCTTTTAAAGTATTTAAAAAAAAAGTGACCCAATATTTTGTTTAGCCAGGCTTCTTGTATTTTTGTTAAAGCAAGACTTTTTTATACCTTGTTTATAGCAAACCTGCCGACTGTAAATATTATTTTAAGGAAAATTAAAATTTAGTTTTTGGCCAATCAGTGCACCCATTGCCACGAAATAAGTGGAAATTAAAAAAAAAATGAAGTTTTTTTCTTTATTTTTATTACGTCTCTCCCCACCCCCTGCTGCCTTGAAATCGCCAAAGATAAGATATGTATATTTCTTCCTAATTATGTAAATTGAAAGCATTTAACCATCACATTTTAGTAATTATTCCAATAACATTTTCTTTTTTATTTTTATTACGTCTCCCCCACCCCCCGCTGCCTTGAAATCGCCAAAGATAAGATATGTATATTTCTTCCTAATTATGTAAATTGAAAGCATTTAACCATTACATTTTAGTAATTATTCCAATAACATTTTCTTTTTTTTTCCTCCTCTGTTGGATGTTCTTGGCAAAACTATTTCCTAAATAAAAAAACAAAATTTTATTCATTATTTTTCTTCTGCCCTTCTCTGATGATCTTTAAAATATGTGTGATCTTTATTTAAAATAATATAAGTACGCGAAACAAGGAATAAGAAAAGTCTTGTTTAAAGAATAATTAAAGACTGGGAGCTATAGCTTTGCTTGCAGCACAATAAAAGTGCTGTTAGATCCATCACTGTGTTTACCAATTGTTTTCATGATATGTATTGTATATCACTGACGATACCTGGCTTTACAGTACAGTATTCTAACTTTACAGGTACTTTGATATTTTCATTAGGTAGTTTTATGGTATTCAAAAAAATGTGCATGTTTTCTGAGTCTAAATGAGCTTTCTCAGGGTCATACCAACATTTTGACAAAGATTAGTAAATGGTCGGAATGGCAATGCAATATAACAAAAAATATAATATAAAATTTAATGGTATAAATATGTATGGCGAAATTACTTTTTTATGTAAAGATTTCTATCTCACTTAAATTTTTAACTCCCACAAATCAGAGGACATCTTTTTTTTTTTACTTTCACTGCAAAATTATCAGCTTTATGCAGTGCAGTACAATACAGTATTTATATTTTTAGTGATAGATATCTAAGCTCATTCCAACTTTTTTTGCCCAAAATTCCTAACCTATTTTTGATTTAACTTGCCCTCTATTTGCTTGTATTCTTGATGCAGTAGGAATTTTTACTTTAGTTATTTTTACTCTTTTGGAAGTGTCTATGTTAGGCCCAATGGAAAAAAAAAATTTATTACTGTATTTTTTTATAGGGCCTTAGGCATCCACCTCATGGATTCTGCATTGGTTGATATTGAGTTCGTTCGTGCAATTCAGTAAATGACATTCTATAAAGTTAATCTATTGTAAAATCAATAATTAAATGATTGTACAAAACAAAATCATTCGATTATTTTGTTTGTGATTTTACGCAAGAGTTGATAATAAAATGACAGTGTCTAAACAGCTGCAGCGTACTAATATGCACCTTGTTACATATTTTAAATGTTTAATTAAATACTTTCTATTTTAATCTGCTGGGTGCTACTGTATTGGAAGCCTACAGTACTTCAGTATATCATTAATTGTTCTCTATCTACAGTATTTATTAATTATTGTTAATATTATTATTAAAAATTTTAACTATACACATACACAAAGAGTGGTGATAGATGGGTTACCCCTGGGAGTTTTTGCACTTCTTTTGCCTATTTTCTCCCACTACAGTAGTTATAGTTGTTAAAAAACATAAGAAATATTATAAAAAAAATAAAATAAATAAATAAAAGCAATAAGCAAAAAAGGCTGCAGCTCTCTGCAGGTGGAAATGGCGCTGAGAGCAGCTCCCTGAGAAGGATGTGCATTTTATAAGATTACATTATTATTATTAATATGAACTGCTCAAATTAAAATACATTTTATTACAGCGACTGTGTTGTTACTTCAGTCTGGTCATGACATTATCAGTCTGAAATAATTCTTAATATTGATTTTTAGTTTTTAATTTGTTATTGTTTGGTTGCTATTATTATTAATTATTATTACAGTATTATTTATTTAAATTAAATTATTATCAGATTATTTAGTTCTATGATGATACATTTTAAACGAAAGCATTATTTCTGACACAATTTTGCTTAAAATGAAATAAACTTTTGTTGTTCACAGGCCAGTGCGGTACAGCTGTACAGACCACTGTATGTGGTAATGGTGTAGACTGTATTCCAACATCTTGGGTCTGTGATAACTTTGATGATTGTCCTGACGACTCAGACGAATCTCCTGCTAATTGTCAAGATGGAGGTACAGTACAGTAGGGCCTACTGTCTTAGGCTATGTTCTTACAGGGCTGCTAACGGTTAGCAGGATCCGGATCCTGCTAACCCTTAGCTGCCGTGCGTCCACACAAGAAAATCCCGATCCGGATACCAAAAATATGATAATCGAATCACTGGCCAATAAGAAACTGGAAATTGTAAATGTGTATGTGCGATTGGTTGATTGGTTGATGATAAAAACGCGCTCAACTTGCTAACCGATAGTGCTTGCTAACCGTTAGCGGTATCCGGATACTGTAAACGGTTAGCGCTATTTAGCTCCTGATCCGGATACTAGGGCTCTCGTGACAACCAGGCTTTATAGTACAAGATCAAACCTAATTGTGTCCCAAACAACAAGTTTTCTTTTTCTTTGAAAAGACAATTAAGTATTGTATCTTGTGTACTTTTTTTGTTGTAGCTTGGGCATTGGCTGTATCTGACTGCCTCTCCCAAATAGCCCCCTCTTCACCGACCCCAGTACTACTTACTGTATAGCCTAATCAAGCACAACACCTCTCTTATTGCCCTACCCTTAAAAACCCCTAGGTAAGTAGCCAAACAGTACCTCACTACACCACCCTACCCTTTAATGCGTCGCCAGCCTCTGTTTATGTCTGGAAACGTGTTATGTTGAATTTGGATGTGAATTAAATAGTTAAAATTACTGAGCGTAAACCAAGAAATAGTATAGTATAGTATGGAACGTCTGCAAATAAGTAATATGGAACTCCATTGGAGCCAAAATCGAATTCTTTTTACATTTTTTCACTGATTAAGACAAAATTTAGGGACTGGAATTCGGTCTATACAATTGCAATACCATACTGTATTGTACCATGGTACTTAAATAATTAGGGACTTGTAGCACCTTGGTCTAATACCCCATTTAGACTAGCTTCGCATTGCGATCGGTTGTAGCATTTGCGACACCCAATCGCAAAGTAAAATCGTGTCTGAAAGCTCACTAATAGTAATTGATAAGTAATCAATTTCGCAATTGTTACCTGTTGCGATTGGGTGCTACAATCTTTATTACTCCCGATTACCACGGAATTTGATCGCAACAGATTCCATAGGCACTGATTGGCTGAGGTCAAACAAAACAGGACAACCTATATCGTTGCTAGTGATGTAAAGTATCAAAGTAAAAAGCTGTCTGAATGCTGTCGAAGTTTGCGAATGGTTGCGAACAATTTGGATTACAACTGTTTACCACTGATTACATCACAACCGGTCGCAATGCAAAGTCTAGTCTGAATAGGGTATAATACATTGACTTACTGTACATATAAATAATAAGCAAAATGCTAATCAAGTCTACACTTTTTATATAATAATAATAAAATAATTTTGTTAAATTAAGATATTATTTGCTAATTATATTGGGCTTTTCACATTAAAAATCCTTAAATTGAGTGTCTATAATGGTATTAGAAATTAATGCATTATTTGACTAATAATTCCACTTCAATAGTATTATACTGCACTGTAGTATAAGTAAGCATAATATTGAAATATTCTTTTTTTAAAAAAAATTAATTGCTTGTTTACATATTTGAGTGAATTGAAATGTCATTTTTTTTGTTATCTTAGTGACTGCCTGCGATGTTAACCCTTGCCAGAATGGAGGGATATGCACAGCAACTCCCAGAACAGACGATACATTAGCTTCTTTTACTTGTACCTGTCCGCCAGATTTCTCAGGCCGAACATGTACAGAAGATGCTACGCGTCCACCTACAGAGCCCCCTACACCCACACCTCGGGTTGTTACCAACACCCCTGCACCAACCACACCAGCACCAGTTAACTTGTGTTTACCAAATCCATGCCAGAATGGAGGGGCGTGTGTGCAACAGGATGCTGGATATATATGTGTTTGTGTCATTGGCTACGAAGGTATTGGACAGTTTTTGATAATAATATAAATCATTAATAAAAAATAAAGTATCAGTTTATGATGATATTAATATCAATAATAACTGTATTTACTATTTGTGTATGTTCAATTTATTATAAAGATAATAGGCCTAACTGTCAGTAATACTGAACCAAGTATATTCAGTTTTTAAATACCAATAATAATAATAATTATTATTAATATAAATACAGTAGCCGTAGCCCGTCCCAAGGGCCAATCCAGGGGAGCCACAGGAGCTAGGTGCCCCCCCCACCCACAAAAAAAAGAGGAAAAAAAAAATATATATATCCATAGGAGAAGGAATGGATCATGGTGCTCCAAAAAAAATAAAACAGAAGCTAATTTTCGATTTAAATTTCATGTTCCAGTGTTTTAGCTCAAGCGTTTGTAAACAAAAATCTTATTCAATGAGTGTACACAACCGTTAATATAGCCAACACATGATAAACCAAGCCAACCAAGAACCCATCAGAGTTTGAATGCAAGTGGCTACATTAAACATGCATGAGTGTGTCCCAACGGAAACCCAATGGATTGACGTCATACTGTACATGTACCAGTATTGATATTTGAAAATGATAAAAATGTGACAGTTTCCATAGCTACTGTAAAAGTTTTAAAAGCAGCTTAGCTCAGTCGGCAAAACTGGTGGTAGCCACTGTGTGTGCGCTGGACTGTGGCGATTTCTTGACCTCCCCAGAAGAGGTCAGATGTAGTGCAGCTTCCAGAGGATATATGAAAAATAATTTCTGATTAGTGCCAGTAATAAAAAGATCAATAATAATATATCAATCATAGTATATGTATAGTTTTTGATGATAAAAAGGTGTATTTATTATGAATATTTTTGAAACATATACTGTAGATTGATAATGGTAATGATAATGAGTATGATGATAGTGTTTTTTATAATAATTAAAAAAATAGGTTTGTAAAAATTATTTCACTGGTTAAAAAAAAAAATTAACCAAAAAAAAAAATACATACATAAAGCTGGGCACTCATTGCATCATGCGAGGGTCGTACGACGGTCGCACAACGAATCCAACTCTGCTCCCTCTGAGTGCTAAACGATTTGACGCCGTTTGCTGATTGTCGGTGCCAGTCTGAATGGATCATCATTAAAAACGATCCGTTGCACGTGCGCGCCGTCGTTGGGTTGCGTTCTTCATTTAAATCGCGTCAGCTGACGACCATTGTACACTGTGAGCACCCTGCTTTAGAAATGTAAAAAAAGAACTTCGGTGAATGATTTTGTTTTTTTCTTTTTTTTATTTGCACTGCAGGCACTAATTGTGAGACCGACACAGATGAGTGTGCTAGCAATCCATGTAGCTCCTTTAGTACATGCATAGATCGCATTAATGCTTACCAATGCAACTGCATAGCGGGGTTCACAGGTAAACTATTACAGTACTGTCTATTCTGTTCATGATTTCCATCTGTTTGGTATGCAAATTTTATGCTTTAAGAATCCACCAATCACCTGCTTTCTTTCTAAGCTTTCTGAATCTTCAACTGCTCATGAATAAGTAAAGGTATTATAAACACACAATCATACAGCTTGAATAGAATTTTCTGCATTTTTATAAATAGCTATTATTACTTATAAAATGTGAAATTTGCGTATGACAGTTTCGGTGCCTATAAGTAACCATTCTCATACCAAAGTATGATTATTACAGTTTAACAAATTTGCGGTTTTCATAAGTTGTTTTGTTTATATGCCTTGACCTTTGACATTAAATGTGACAGTTAAAAGCACTGTTCAAATTGGCTTTGATATGCACATTAATTGCTGTGAATCCACCCATCATTTGCTTTACTGACACTTTTCTTTGTTTCATGCAAACTATATGCAAATTATATACATCCACCAATCACCACCTTTGATGACACTGTTCTTTTAATTTTATGTAAATTATATACATGGTACTCGATATACATATCTCCAAGACTTTTGGAAGACAAACAGCTTCAGTAAAACACACTTAATTTTCATCATTTGTCCATCATAATTAATTTATCATCACAAAAATTAAAATTATTTGTTGTGCTCATATATATTGTTGTAATGATTAATTCAGGTGCTGTCAATTGCTATGCAAATTGAATTGATATGCTAATTATATGCTATGAGCTTTATTCAGACATCCATTTGCATCATCTAGAGCAAATTTATTATCATTCAATGTGAGCTCATGGTGTATATTTCAGGCAATAGCAAATCTAAATATTACATTGTATTATGTTTTAATCCAACAATAATACCAGTGATAATTAAATTGCTTTGTACCAATTGTTGGACATGATCGATTAACAGGTGTCAGCACTTGTTAGTGGTACTTCTTCGTGGTTCTCTTGTGCTGTCACTTTGTGGTACCAATGCCTTGCAGTTGTCCTATAATGTACAGTGCACTCTATAGACTTCTTGTAGTTTGTTGGTTTACACTTTACCTGGTGGCGGTACTTCTGTTTGCTTCTTACACCCTCCCTTGTCACCTGTTCCTTGATACTTGGTAAGTTTATTATTTTAATTTTATACATATTTTAGCAGCTTAAAGTCAACCTTAATTTTATATATTTAAAGACAATCTAAATAGAGGTCTCCCTCCAATTAAAGACCACTTTTGGGACTGGGATTCCCATGGTCTTTCAGCTTTGGTCTCTAATTAGAATAATAAAAGTAAAAGCCATTTGTGAATTTGGAACCACTGAAAGGTAGTCTTTAATTGGAGTGGTCTTTAATTAGAGGGAGAGACCTATACCTATTTTCCATTAAGTATTTTGTATTTACATATACATAACCTTAATTTATCTGTAGTGAAACAGAAATTTCAACATTAATTTTCTTTTTCAAGGCCTGTTACTACTGGTGTTGATTCACAATTATTTTAATTATTATTTCTATTGATTTGTTTTATTTTTAAAAATTTATTAAGCATTGTTGATCTCGTTACTTTTTAAATTATCCATAAAAACATAAAAAAATGAAATCCATTTTGAAAACACAGGAACTGTATGGAATTGGAGATTTCTTTTCATATTAATCGAGGCCCTCACATGTTTTGCCAAAATTAACATTTTGATTTTGATCTCTGTACAGGTGTACAATGCCAAGTGAATATCAACGAATGTTCGAGTAACCCATGTCGTAATGGCGCTACGTGTCAGGACGGCTTGAATGGGTACACATGTATCTGCGTGTCTGGTTTTTTCGGTACTCACTGTGAGACCGATCTTCAGGAGTGTGCGAGCACCCCATGCCAAAATGGCGGTGCCTGTGTAGAGCAGAGTAACGGCTATCGATGCCAGTGTCCTAGTGGTTTTCAAGGTACATTTTTATGTTATTTTAGCTGTGGCGTAGTGGTTTGAGTGCCTGCCTTTTAGTTCCAAGTTCTCTGGTTTATTCTTGGCAGTAACATTTTTTCTCAAAAAAAACAAAAAAAAACAAAAAAACTTTACTCTTACCGTATGGTAATACTTGGTTAAGTTTTCAAAATGATCACTGGATAAAGTACACTTTCTAAATAGGGTGTTTCAAGAAAATATAACAAAAAAATAATATATAATAATATAATAATAGTTATGTTATAAAAAAAATATTCATATTCATAAATAAAATAGAACATTAGAGATCATTTGATCAGCCTAGATATGAGAAACATCATAGTATAAATAAGTGTCAACATTATATATGCACGGAAGCACCTAAGTGCCATTCGACTTGACGACTTGTCAAGATAATTATGTTGTCAAGTCGACATAACATACATATTATGTCGACATGGCGAGATAGATTATCTTGACAAGTCGACATACTAAAAATGTTTTGTTGTCATGACGAGATAGGTTATCTTTTCAAGTCGACATAATAAAAGTTGTATGTTGTCATGGTGAGATAAATTATCTTGACAAGTCGACATAATAAAAATTGTATGTTGTCATGGCGAGATAGGTTATCTTGACAAGTCGACATAATAAAAGTTGTATGTTGTCATGGCGAGATAGATTATCTTAACGAGTTGACATAGTAAAAATTGTATGTTGTCATGGTAAGATAGGTTATCTTGACAAGTTGTCATAATAAAAGTTTTATGTTGTCATGGGGATATAGATTTTCTTGACAAGACGACATAATAAAAATTTTATGTTGTCATGGCGAGATAGGTTATCTTGACAAGTCGACATAATAAAAATTGTATGTTGTCATGGCAAGATAGATTATCTTGAGAAGTCGACATAATAAAAGTTGTATGTTGTCATGGCGAAATAGATTTTCTTGGCAAGTCGACATAATAAAAGTTGTATGTTGCCATGGCGAGATAGATTATCTTGACAAGTAGACATAGTAAAAATGTTATGTTGTCATGGCGAGATAGGTTCTCTTGACAAGTAATAATGTATTTCAATAATTGAAATACATTCTATTAGGTTTATACAAATTTAATAAAATTCACCAAAATAATTAGAAGTACAACTCTTCAAAAACATGTTGCAATTTGTGGGGATTCCCAATTTAGGCCTAGGCCCTAGATCTGCATTGCATCGTCGTCGGCGAGTTTATGCCTTGAAATACCGACAATTCTTGCTGTTTATTGTTCATTATCATCTTTAAAAAAGTTGAAATAAATTTTTTGTGTAATTCAGTGATTTATAATGACCAAAATCTCATTTCTGAAACTGATTCGACATTCACAATGATCAGATAGTACTCTACCAATCTATTTTGTAACATAAATAATGTGACCTGAAAATTATTCGCGGCATAAAACTTTCGCGAACCTGGGCCATTTGCAAAATTCGCGAAAGTTTAATGCGCACGAAATTTCCTGGTTTTACAGTATGGTCATGATGACATCACATCACATATTTAGGCATGTCATGTTTTTTTTTCAAATAAAATATGATAGCCTGCACAGCATAAGGTAACATGAAGGAAAAGTTTCTTGCATTAATTAGCCAGTCTGTCCTTTATTCCGCTTATTATTAAATACACAGGTACTAATTGTGAAAGTGAAATCAATGAATGTATAAGTACTCCGTGCCAGAACGGAGGAACCTGCGTAGATGGTATCAACTCCTTCAGCTGCTCGTGTGTAAACGGCTTCGTTGGCACCAGGTGTGAAGTTCAGATCAATGAATGCCTCATCACCATATGCGAAAACGGTGGTACGTGCATTGACCAGATTGGAGGATTTCAGTGCGTCTGCGTTCCAGGTTACAGCGGGACTCTATGCGAGGTTGAAACTGACGAGTGTAGCAGCAGTCCATGTTTGAATGGAGGTCAGTTTAAAATCAAATAATTCATTCTCTTTCTTCTCCATTACATAACGCACACACAAAAAATGGGTGGATCCATTTTTTCAAGAAAGCAACCATCGCAGAGGGAAAGATTGTAAATTGTAGTTTTTAGATGTGGTTAAATATTTGTTCGGGGATCATCATAATCTGCGAGGCTGTTTCGTCTTTGGCAGCCATGGTGTAGGCTAATTGCTTCCATGACTCTTTTTCGGTGGTGATATGGTCAATAGGGGATAGTCACAATAATTATACTTGATAATGCTAGACCTGCAAAATTAGATGCAAGATCATGATTATTTTGAAAATGTAAAAAAATATATTGTGTTAAGAAGTAAAAAGTGTATATTTATTCAAAATTATGTAACATTTCATCTTCTGAATTTATAACTAGGAATATGTGCTGATACATCTAATGGATATGTATGTACCTGTGTGAACGGATTCTCAGGTGTCGTCTGTGAAAATGATGGCGACCAATGTGCTAGTAGCCCATGTCTGTATGGTGGAACGTGTCAAGACCTCGTGCAGGCGTTTACCTGCGTGTGTCCAAGCGGATTTGGTGGTGATAACTGCGCGATTGATCTTATTAATGAATGTCTTAGTAACCCATGTCAGAATGGAGGTTGGTATCAATACAAATATATTCACAATGATAATGTTGAATAAATTTTACATGATTTCATTTTATTAATAAATAAACGTCTTATTATTTCTCTTCCAAACTGTAATTGAAACTTAACATTTTTGCTGAGCCGCTGGTGACCCCTGTTACCACTGTACCGAAATTTAATGGATGCAGAATCGCTTTATGTCATTTAACACATGTGGGAGCTATTTCAGGATTAGAGCAGTCGGACAAATTGAAGCTAAATTGGTTTGAAAACTAGTTTTTGGCCAAATGCTCGGCTCTAAAAAATTATAGTGCATTTCGAGTGCAAGCCTAGAAGATAAATTTTAAGTAACTTTGATGCAAAGTGCTCCATCCCTCCAACTTCAGAGGTCAGCTATCAAATATGGAACAAATTGTATTGAAATCTAGCACCAGCATTCTAGATAGGCCGAGTCCTAGGCCTTTATTGTGAGGCTAGGATATCGGTTGGGCTTTTTCGGGCATATTCCTTCCTTAAGTCTGCAGATCACCCTCACTTGCACTTTGCATTGTCCTCACTTATGTATAGGCCCACCATAATCAAATTTTGTGTTTGAGTGGGGAGGAGGAGGGTATAGAAATACATAGAAACTACACTTCAATTTCCTAATAAGTATTACAGGATAAATTATTTATCAACTTTTTTGTTTGAAATATATTTTCTTTTAGCACAGTGCAACAACGAAATAATGGGATACCGTTGCCTATGTGCACCTGGATGGTCAGGGAGCCAATGCACAGTTGATGGAGATCAATGCACCAGCCAGCCTTGCCAGAATGGTGGCATATGTATAGACAGTGCCCTTTCATATTCATGTGCATGCATGCCTGGCTATGAAGGTAAACATTAATTTAAAAAAAATATGTGAGAAGACAGCTGAGGAGGAATAGTAGCCTTTAGGATGTCATCTGCGTGGTGCCTTTAGGATATCATCTGCGTGGTGCCTTTAGGATATCGTCTGGGTGGCATGTTCCTCTATAGTCAGTTTATAAGAACATAACATTTTGGCAAAGATTATTACATCTGTATGTGTTATTATTCATTTATTATCATATAAATTTAATAATATTTATGTTTTTATAAATACAATATAATAAATACAAAAAATGTGCTATGATAATACATTTTCTGATTGGTCACATTAGAGTGATGTAATTCTTTTTTTGACATGGGCAAGATTAATTATTAGCCAATCAGAAAACAGCCAGATGACAGGTACACAGTATCATCATGCAATTCAAATTAATAATTTCTGAGGACTTAGTCAATCAAATAACAATAAAAAAAAAATGATGATGTGTATTTGGGCTAGATAAACCAAACCGAAGAAAAAAAGAAATGATGTACATTAGGTTGTTGTATTCATGTAGTAAATTTTTTTTCTGGTTTTCAAAAAACTTCCTTTTTGGTGTTTTGATGGCTTTTAAAGTTATTTTTGCAATTTCTTTCCCTGGTCTACTCAATCCCCTTCCCTCCCTATTTATACTAATATTATTAGTAGGGTAATTTGTTTTGGGTTAATTTTACCTTTGGTAGTACTGTAGGATATAAATTTGGTTGGAAACATTTTTATTAGCTTGGCTGCTACTGCCATCCACAATACCTATTGTAATAATAATGGTAATCATCATCACTATCATTATCATCATCACTATCATTATCATCATCATCAGGCCAAAAAAAAAATTCTTGTGTTTAACACATTATGGTAAAACTCAAAAATGGGTAGATTTGGTAGAAATTTTTTTTTTTTCTTCTTTAACCATAATGTGTTTAAAAAGTAGAAAATACACAAAAATACAACAAACACTATTTTATCCATATTGAAGAGCAAAACATTCACATAACACTGTTGCATCACCTACCGTCGAGCAAGATAGACCTATCCCAGCCTTTTTAGTTCATTAAAAAACCGCAAAAGAAAAAAACTAAAATGCCAAACTTCAATTTAGTATACTTTGGGTCGGTGGGGCAAGCCAACACAATAATTTTTATTTATTTGGCCTCATTATCCTCATCATCATCATTGTCAGTTGCAGCATGATCCTCATTCATCATCATTACCATTATCATCATCATCATAATCATCATCATTCTCATCAACATCCTCATCTTCAACATTAATATCATCATCATCATCTACTGTTGTTATTACTTTTTAAAAATCTATTGTGTATATTATATTTATCAATTCTTGCAATATTAGGCACCAACTGTCAGATCAACATCAACGAGTGTGCCAGCAGTCCATGCCAGTCTAATGCAGTTTGTACAGATTTAGTAAATGGCTTTCAGTGCAACTGCCCTGCAGGCTTCACCGGTGACCTTTGTCAAGTTGAGGTCAATGAATGTGCAAGCTCTCCCTGTGCAAATGGTGCAACATGCATTGATTTTGTGAACCTGTATACATGCCAATGTGTCAGTGGATTTTCTGGTGCAACTTGTGAAGAGAACATTAACGAATGTGCTAGCAATCCATGCCTGAGGAACTCTGTATGTTTAGATGGCGTGAATGGATACACATGTCAGTGTCAGGATGGCTTCTCAGGACAACAATGTGACATTGAAATCAACGAATGTGCGAGTAACCCATGTCTTAATAATGCTGTATGCACAAACCTTGTGAATGGTTTTCGTTGCATTTGCCTCCCAGGCTACGAGGGTGATCAGTGTGAGGCAGAAACCGATGAATGTAACAGCACGCCTTGTCTTAATCAAGCTACATGCTTTGACCGTCTAAACGGATACTTTTGCGATTGTCTGGATGGTTTCTCTGGAACGCTGTGTGAGGTGAACATCAACGAATGTGCAAGTTCACCCTGTCAGAATGGAGGAGCTTGTCGAGATGGAATCAATGAGCTATCTTGTTTGTGTCCAAATGGATATATAGGCTCATTCTGTGAGACTGAGGTTTTGGAGTGCAGTAGCAGACCGTGCCAAAATGGAGCTGTCTGTCAAGAGCTAGTTGGGGGCTATCGTTGTAATTGTCCTCTAGGTTTCTCAGGGACTAACTGCGAAACCCAGGAGAACGAGTGTTCTAGCAACCCTTGTCAAAATGGTGGCAACTGCTTAGACCAAATCAACCAGTTCACCTGCATCTGCGATCCTGGATATATTGGCACATTTTGTGAAACGAACATCAATGAGTGTGGAAGTAGTCCATGCCAGAACAGTGGTATATGTAGTGACCAAGTTAATGCATTTGAATGCAACTGTCCCTCAGGTTATGGTGGCACATTTTGCGAGATTGAGGTTGAGGAATGTGACAGTGCCCCTTGTCAAAATGGAGGAACTTGTGTAGAGGAGGTAAATCGATATGTGTGTACTTGCTATCCGGGGTTCATTGGAATCAATTGCGATATACAGATCAATGAATGCGGCAGCAATCCCTGTCAGAACAACGCCGTTTGCCAGGATTACGTCAACAGATATTTTTGCTCTTGTGCAGCAGGGTATCAAGGGGTTAATTGTGAGTTTGAAGTTAATGAGTGTGCCAGCAGTCCTTGTATCAATGGAGGTGTCTGTTTGGATCAGATGAACGGGTTCTTGTGTCAATGCGCTCCTGGGTATGAGGGTAGTAGGTGCGAGGTTGATATCAATGAGTGTGATAGTAATCCGTGCGTGAATGATGCCGCTTGCACAAACGGAATTGGTCGATTTACTTGCACCTGCAATGCGGGCTTTACAGGTGTTACCTGCGCTCTTGAGATTGACGAATGCAACAGTGGTCCATGCAGAAATGGCGGTCAGTGCACAGATCGGCAAGCAGGCTACATATGCACTTGCCCAATTGGCTTCTTTGGAACAAACTGTGAGGCGCAAACTTTGGAATGTAGTAGCAACCCCTGCAGAAATGGAGCAGAATGCCTTGAGTTGACTAATGCATTTGCTTGTCGATGTCTCAGTGGCTTCACAGGAACATTATGCGAGGCCAACATCAATGAATGCGCAAGTGACCCTTGTGTTAACGGCGCAACTTGTGAAGATCTTGTAAATTTATACCTGTGCAACTGTCAGTCAGGTTACCAAGGAACACAGTGCCAAGAGAATGTGAACGAATGTGGAAGTCAGCCATGCCAGAATGGAGGTGTCTGTGCGGACCTTATTAATATGTACACCTGTACATGTCCTGATGGAGTATCTGGTACCAACTGTGAGTTGGAGATACAGGAGTGTAGTAGCTCTCCGTGTACATTTGGTGTTTGCATGGAGGAGATTAACAGGTATAGCTGCATCTGTAGCGATGGTTACACAGGAGTTAACTGCGACCGTGAGATTGATGAATGTGAAAGCCAGCCATGTCTGAATTCTGCAGAGTGCTTTAATGTAGTAGGTGCCTATTTATGTTCTTGTACTCCTGGATACGTAGGTACTAACTGTGAAAGTGATATTGATGAATGTTTTAGCAGTCCATGCAGGAATGGAGGAACGTGCGTCGATGGCATCAATGGGTATATTTGTCAATGCATTCCTGGATACGGTGAGAACAACTGCCAAGAGGAAATCAACGAATGCTCAAGTAATCCATGCAAAAACAATGCTGTATGTGAAAACCTCCTTAATAACTTTCGCTGTTATTGTTTAGATGGTTTTGAAGGTGATACTTGTGAAATTGATGTCAATGAATGTGCCAGCGTACCGTGTCAGAATGGTGCCACGTGCATAGACCAGGTCAGAGGTTATAGGTGCGAATGTCAAGAAGGATATTACAGTACATTTTGTGAGCTGGAAATTATGGAATGCCGGAGTAACCCGTGCCAAAATGGAGCTACCTGCACAGACGAGGTGAACCTGTTTGTGTGTGTTTGTACACCAGGATATAGTGGAGAACTCTGTGAGGTAGATGTTAATGAATGCCAGAGTAATCCTTGTTTTAATGGCGGAACATGTGTTGATAGTTTAAATGCATTTTTATGTCAATGCATTCCTGGATTCCTTGGAGCTATGTGTGAAGTTGAAATTCTTGAATGTGCTAGTGGACCATGCCAGAACAATGCCACATGCATTGAGGGCATTGATGCATTTGCATGTCTCTGTCTAGCTGGTTTTGAAGGTGTGCTATGTGACATTGAGATAAATGAATGTGTGAACAATCCTTGCCGCAATGGGGCCGAATGTGTGGATCTCATAAATGACTTTGAATGTGAATGCATTAATGGATTCACAGGCGTAACATGCAATGAAGATTTTAATGAATGTAGCAGCCAGCCATGCCAGAATGGTGCCACGTGCAGTGACCTCATTGCAGCCTATATCTGCTCATGTCCAGCTGGTTTCTATGGCACACACTGCGAATTGGAAACAGTTGAATGCTCAAGTAATCCATGTTTAAATGGTGCATTGTGCATCGACATAATTAATGGATACTTTTGTCAATGTACTGATGGTTACTCTGGGACAAACTGCGAGATAAATATTGATGAGTGCTCAAGCAGTCCCTGCCGCAATGGTGCCACGTGTAATGACAATGTGAATGGCTACATGTGCTTGTGCATTGCCGGATACCAGGGTTCATTTTGTGAAGAGAACATTCGTGAGTGTGCCAGCAATCCATGTCGCAACGGAGGCCAGTGTGTTGATGAGCTGAATGGCTACCAATGTGTCTGTCAAACAGGATTTGAGGGGTCACGATGTGAGGTTGAGAGCGATGAATGTTCAAGCTTTCCATGTCTTAATAATGGAGTCTGTATTGATGATGTTAACAGTTTCACCTGCATATGCTTGGACGGTTTGATCGGCACTTTATGCGAAAGCAACATTGACGAATGTGCAAGTGCACCATGTTTTAATAACGCTGTTTGTATTGATTTCATCAACCAGTTTCAATGCAGATGTCAGACTGGATATCAAGGAACTCTCTGTGAAGTTAATACCGATGAATGCTTAAGCTCACCATGTCTGAACAACGCAGCATGTATTGATTACGTCAATGGTTATTCTTGCTCCTGTCTGCCTGGATTCAGTGGCTTGCGGTGCGAAATCGATCAGAATGAGTGTGCTGCTAATTTGTGTCAGAATGGAGCAACATGCATTGACCAGTTTGGTGACTATACCTGCACATGTGTAAATGGCTATGAGGGGAGAAATTGCGAAGTAGACACCGACGAATGTGCCAGCAATCCCTGTCGAAATGGTGCCACATGTATTGAAGGTTTAGCAAGTTATACCTGTATTTGCGTTTTAGGATACTACGGATTAAATTGTGAGACTGAAATCATTGAATGTGGAAGCTCACCTTGCCAGAACGGAGGAACTTGCATCGATGAACAGGGAGGTTATCGTTGCTTATGTGTTATTGGATTTACTGGGACACATTGTGAGGGTAATATAGATGAATGCGCCAGCAGCCCTTGTTTGAGTCCAGCAACGTGCATTGATAGCGTAAATGGCTTTACGTGTAGCTGCAGTCCAGGATATAGTGGCGATCTCTGCGAAGTGGAGATAAACGAGTGTGCCAGCAACCCGTGTAGGAACAACGCTACCTGTAACGATTTCGTATCTTATTATGTTTGTGAATGCCAGCCTGGTTTCGAAGGAGCTGGTTGCCAGACCAACATCAATGAGTGCGCATCATCACCGTGCATTAATGCACCATGCACGGATCAAATCAACGGCTATGAATGCGACTGTCCATCGGGATTTTATGGTGATAATTGTGCAAATGACATTAACGAATGTGATAGTAATCCTTGTCTAAATGGTGCTATTTGTGTTAATATGGTTGATGAGTATGTTTGTGCTTGCATTAATGGTTTTTCTGGGGTCAACTGTGAGGAAGAGATTCAAGAATGTGATAGTAATCCCTGTTTGAATCAAGGAGTGTGTACCGAAGATATTGGCGGATACACTTGCATGTGTTCGCCAGGATTCATCGGGGACGTTTGTGAAGTTAATGTCAACGAATGCCTCTCAGGTCCGTGTTTGAATGGTGCAGGTTGCGTTGACGACGCAAATGGTTACATATGCACTTGTTTAATTGGCTACCAAGGTGATGATTGTGGAACTAATGTTAACGATTGTGCAGATGATCCTTGCAACAACGGAGCTGCGTGCATTGATCAAGTTAACGGGTACACTTGCACATGCGTGCCAGGCTTTGAAGGAACACATTGCGAGTTGGAAATCAACGAGTGTGAAAGCAGCCCTTGTAGAAACAATGGGCAGTGTTTGGATTATTTAAACGCGTACTTATGCAACTGTACCGAGGGATTTGCTGGACGTTTGTGCGAGCTAGAAGCGGATGAATGCGAAAGCAGTCCATGTCTTAACGGAGCTGTGTGCCAAGACCGGTTCAAAGGTTACAGCTGTGTTTGTGCTGATGGTTTCTATGGTATCAACTGCGAAATTGATTATCCTGAGTGTGGTAGCGGACCTTGTTTGAATGATGCAACATGCGTCGATCTTGTTAATCGCTATGAGTGCAGGTGTGCTGATGGATTTACAGGTAAACAAAATGGGAGATGGAAAAAAAAGATTGCATAAAAATAATAATAATAATAATAATAATAATAATAATAATAATAATAATAATATGGATAATTATACTTAAAGATTAATGGGAAATTCCAAGAATTGAGCTTAACTCTAAAGCTTAGTGGTATTTTTTTTGTCCAACTTTATTGAAAATTGCATTAATGATCGTAATAAAAATAATCATGGTAAAAATAATAGTAAGGCTAGTAATGATTATTTTAATAATGATAATTTTAATAATGATAATTTTAAAAGTAATAAGAATAATAATAATGGTATAATTATAATAATCACTCTTGTTTTAATCATCTTGGATTTTAAATTTTTTTTGTACTTATGTTGAATTTTTCTCATTACTTCTTTCAGATAATTTATAAAAAGACTTTGTTGCTGGTTATTTTGTGTTTCATTCTTTTTTTTCTTTACAAAATATTTGCATGGAGTTAACTCTGCTGCATTTACTAACATTTTCTTTGCTTTTCATTATTTATGCATGTTCATTTAAAATGGTTCTTTATATATTTTACAAATAGAGTCTATGTAAAAATTGTTGAAAGATATGTTATTCCTGCATTTTATTTTAAAAGCAGATGATAGTATCTATTATTGTTTTCACAATTTTGTATTTACAAGTTTTACAATATTTATTTGAATTTGAATTAGGAATTATGATTTACACAACAGCTAGTATTTTCTGATTTCTTTGTACTTTTTAAATATGAATAAGGTTTAAATTGCGAGACTGAAATTAACGAGTGTTTGAGTTTCCCGTGCCGAAATGGGGCAACGTGTGAAGATCAAAATGGACGCTACTTCTGTGTCTGCGTACCTGGTTACTTTGGTACCCAGTGCGAGAGTGAGTCGGAGGAGTGTGCAAGCAATCCGTGCCAAAATGGGGCTACTTGTATAGATCTTTTCAATGAATATACTTGCCAGTGCCGGACAGGTTTTACAGGTTAGTTGTTAGTGTACTTCCATATTTTGACCAAGTGAAAGCCCATGTTAGAGTATAAGCCCATGTTGGAGTATAAGCCCATGTTCAAGTATAAGCCCATGTTTAGGTATAAGCCCATGTTTAGGTATAAGCCCATGTTTAGGTATAAGTACATGTTCAAGTATAAGCCAGTGTTTGAGTATAAGCCCACCCAATATTAGGCATGATTTTTAATACTGGTTTTTGTCCTTGTATAAACCCATGGTATGATTTTATTAATGAATGAAGCTGGACTGTCTAGATGCCCTCCTAATTGATAGCCAGCATTGAATCCAGCATGATAAAGCCCACCATTAGAAGTAATTGCCACACCGCCAAGGCGAATACTTCTCACCATTGCATTGTGGCTCTGCTTCTCAACCTTTAAATCTCCATGTTAAATAAAAAGCCAAATCAAGTGAATTTTTGTGCTTATACTCAGTAAAATAAAGCAAAATTATTTTACCGGCCTAACCATTATCTTCTCTTTATATTTAGGGTATAACTGCGATATAAATATTAATGATTGTTTGAACCAGCCTTGTCAGAACGCTGGTCAGTGTGTGGATGGTGTCAATACGTATAGCTGTGTTTGCCCGCAAGGCTTTGAGGGCATTATTTGTCAAACAGAGATAGATGAGTGTGCCTCTAATCCGTGCATTAATGGCGGCATATGTCAGAACCAGGTGAATGCGTTTGTATGCAGTTGCATTCCTGGTTACTCAGGAACAAGGTGTGAAACTGATATCTTTGAATGCGGCAGCAGCCCTTGCTTAAATGGAGGTATATATTCTTAACTTATACACTTTACTGTATAAACCATAGGCCTACCATAATTTTTGTTTGTGGCTGTACATTGGTGGATCGATGAATTTGAAATAGTGGGAGCCTGAAAGGGACATTTTGCTTTCTTATGGAAGCGGTTTGGCGTAACGGGAATGGTTTAGTTTCCCAACCTCGAGGTAGGGGGTTCAATCCCTCGCTGTGCATTTCACATGTGTCCTTGAGCAAAGTACTTTATCTGCATTGCTTCTCTCCACCGAGGAGTATAAATGGGTACCTGAAGAACTTCGAGTGCAAAATGCGCTGATATATTTCATGCAGCAAACTATGGAATTTCTTCCATAGGCATCGTTCCAATCACTGGGGTAATATTGTGGAAAAGGGCCCTGAGTTTTAGTTGTGTAGAGCGCTATATAAAAACCTACATATTATTATTATTATTATTTCACAAATGGAGGATCTAGACCACCAATCATGGTGGGGATGAGGCAAGAAATTTTATGAGTATGACACATCTAGATGGCTGGAAATGGCACTCTCTCAGAATTAACTTTAATTTCCCATTTTTCTCCATTTTATTTTTATAGTAATTTTGAAAAATTTAGGTTTGGGTCAGACCGACTGGGCCGACATTTGAATCTGCCACTGCTCTATCTGTATAGATTTTATATAGGCCTATAATTTTTTGGTTTTGACATTTTAGTCATTTACATTAATTTTAATACCTGGTTATTTACTAAGTTCACATAACACTGCTACGGTAGCCCTCTGTTGTGTGAGAGAATTTGAGGCTGGCCATCCCACAACCAGCGTACCGTCACTAAATGGTAAACTGAGTAATTGTCATTGTGGCAGTATTGTATAATTTAGTACAAAGAAGCTGTAATACATTTTACTCATAACTTTGGAAATAGGAAGTCATTGACCTGTCATTTTAAATCCTATAAGTGAGGAGAATATGAATATTAAAATAAAATTTTCTTGTTTTGGTCTCTGATAGTGGTTTTGGTATTACAAGCCCCATATGTTCTTGGCTGGATTTGCCATATACCAATAGGTTTTTGTGTCATAGACACTCTTCTCTTGACAGCAAGAGGTTTGCTTCATTTAAACGTTGACATCAATTATATATGGTAACTTCCTACTCCTCCACGATAAAATGATATACTGTACTGGTAATGCAAAGAATATATAACTTTAAGAAATGGAGAATGTTGTTAGCATTGTTGTTCTGCTATAAATTATAATTATATATGAATTATAATAAATTTTCTTTATCGTGACCACAGGGCTGTGCCAGGATTTGTTGAACGCTTACCGTTGTCAATGTCAGTCCGGATTTAGCGGAACCAACTGCGAGATTGATGGTGATCAGTGCGCGAGTAATCCATGTCTGTTTGGCGGCACGTGTGTAGATCTGGTGAAAGCGTATCGCTGTGAATGCCCCACAGGATTTTCTGGTACCAACTGTGGTCAGGATGTTCTCGATGAGTGTGAAAGTTCTCCTTGCCAGAATGGAGGTAATGAGTTATCTGATGGGAGTTAGGTTTACTCCTTACAGGCAATTCGTGACTAGCCACTCACTGGATTAAATAAATTTATGGATTGTCTTAATCCTGGTTTAATTTTATGAAACAATTCTCAAAAGTCAATTGAAATACTAAGTCGATATTCCTAGGAGACATAAGCTCTGTCAGATACTCAAATTTTCTTTGACAACAAGCTGATGTACGTCCATATACAGTCATGATGTGATGTCGTCATGACCATATTTAGGCATGTCACATGTTTTGTCAAACAAAATTTTATTAGTCCAGACAGGGCTATAGATTCAGCTTTAGCAGGTTTACGCGCTACAGACTTCAATCCATAAATTAATTAACAACCAGTTTAAGAGTAAGGAATATAGTGATGGTATTATCAGTTATGCACAAGTAAATGCATTGGAAGTTGGTTCTGCTAACCATAGCTAAATCACCTGGACATAAGTGATATGGTGCAAGGTACTCAAGGCCCTTCAGTATTCATTGCACACGCAGTCGCTTTTTGTGTCGGTTTATACACAACCATGCCTTTGCTGGTCTATGTGCTTGATGAAATGTTTTAAAGTATATTCAAAGTCATATGGAAGTAAAGCAAAAGAGAGTCACTGACAAAATCCCAAACCCAACATCTCTTTTTTATGGACTAACCACTTTTATGGACTTGCACATACAGGATATAAATAATATGAGACTTCATAACACTGGATAAACTCACTAAGCTACAGCTTTACTATATTAAATAATGTTTAAATGTTGATAATCGTTTTTTTGTCAATTTTTATTTTCAGGTGTTTGTCGAAACCTACTTGGAGCTTATGCTTGTGATTGTACTGGAAGTTGGATTGGCACTAATTGTGACAATGATAGAAACCATTGTGAGCCAGATCCATGCCAGAATAATGGAATATGCCGTGATATATTCCAGGGGTATTTGTGTCAGTGTGAACCTGGCTTTCAAGGTGTTAATTGCGAAATGGACACTAATGAATGTGATAGTTCCCCGTGTCAGAATGGTGGTACCTGCCTCAATCAACCAAACAGCTTTCTCTGTATTTGCCCAGTTGGTTATGTTGGAACCAACTGTGGCTCGGAGCTGTTTGAGTGCGGAAGTAGCCCATGTTTAAATGGAGCAGCTTGTCTTGATCGAGTAGGCGGCTATGAGTGTAGCTGCGTACCAGGATACATTGGCTCACGATGCGAGCTCAATATCGATGAATGCGCTAGTTCTCCATGTAGTAACCAAGCTAATTGTCAAGATATGGTTAATGGTTACGTCTGCATATGTCCAAATGGCTTCACTGGAACATCTTGCGATGTCGATGTAGATGAGTGCGCAAGCTTTCCGTGCTTGAATGGTGGAACATGTACCGATTTAGTAGCAGCGTACGGATGTTCGTGTCCGAGTTCCCACCAAGGTTTACGTTGTGAAACTGAATTCAACGAATGCTCGTCAAACCCGTGTCAAAATGGTGGCCAGTGTATTGATGATTTCAATTCTTTTGTGTGTCAGTGCGCCGTCGGTTATCAGGGCTCATTTTGCAGCATTGAAATTGATGAATGTTCAAGCAACCCGTGTTTGCGAGGTGGGACGTGCCAGGATCTTGTTGCAGCATACCAATGTATATGTACACCTGGGTATGTTGGACAAAGGTGTGAAACGGAGTCTCAGGAATGCAGTAGCAGTCCGTGTCTTAATGGAGCCTTGTGTGTGGAGCTCTTGAATGCCTATCGATGCGAATGTGTCAATGGCTTCACTGGTACTGTCTGTGAGATAAACATTGATGAATGTGGCAGCAACCCTTGTTTCAATGGAGGTACAGAGATTAATACAAAATATGATAGTTTGTACAGAGATTAATGCAAAATATGATAGTGTGAACAGAGATTAATGCGAAAACACATCTAGATGTGTATAAGAGACAGTGTTGTTAGCATTGTTGTTCTGCTATAAATTATAATTATATATGAATTATAATAAATTTTCTTTATCGTGACCACAGGGCTGTGCCAGGATTTGTTGAACGCTTACCGTTGTCAATGTCAGTCCGGATTTAGCGGAACCAACTGCGAGATTGATGGTGATCAG